TTAATAATTTTCGGCCTTTCGGCATTCGGTTTTCGGCCAACTGTTTCCTATTTTCGGTATCGGTTTCGGCCAAGAATTTCCCATTCGGTGCACCCCTATTATTTATTAGAGCGGATGAATCCTTGTGCGAAAAAGCCATACTAGTTACTCCTGTGAAAGTTACATTGTAAAAACATGTTGGGCTTTTCTAATACCTAGATATGATTTGAAGAACACAAAGATTATCCCAAATAGAATCTCTCTGGAGCAAATCTTTCATAGAATACTCTTTTCTTCCAGGTATGTCGAATGGCATCAGACTACTCTCGCACCTGTGTCAGCCCAGACAGCATGCAGACCGGAGAAGCACCCGTGGTGTCTGAAACCTGCGAGGTGTACGTGTGGGGCAGCAACAGCAGCCACCAGCTAGTGGAGGGCACACAGGAGAAGATCCTGCAGCCCAAGTTGGCGGCCAGCTTCGCCGATGCACAGACAGTAAGAGAAAAGAGTTTACACGTCTTCTGTAGAGCTTGATGAATGCAGGCCTGTATCCACATAGCCCCTTTTTTGGCAGAAAGGCGCTGGCAGGCAATGTGCTGCATATGGCGATAAGAGTATTTCACTCAGAGGCAGCAACATCCAATATCTGCTCCAACAAAAGGGTTTTTAGTTTTTCTTATGATAGTTTGTGTCTGCTAGACACCGCCAAAAACAAACTTCTCCTCCAATTTCTACAGGGATGTGACTGGCGTACACAAAACGTACAATATGTTCAATTTTAAGCACTTGGAGCTTGCGCACAAAAAGGTCGGGCTCAAATAAAAGACGCTAGGTGCTTTTTCACGTGGCGCTGCATGCCACGTTGACTTTAAAGAAAGCGAATCAAAGCATTCATTATACTGATCAGCTTAAAACAATGGCTTGGCATATACTGTACTTGATGACATAATGCAAATATCTCTAGTTTTTCAGCAGTGCATTGTTTTCCATTACAGCTGTAGACTTTTACTCTGTAACATGGATGAGCAGTGCTCTGGGTTCTTCTTCTTTTTTTAAATTAAACTTGCACAACAAAGATAACAGTACTTTATTGCAAGTTGAATACTCAATTCTGATTCCGCTGCAAAAGTTAGCAGACAGTTGCTAAAGCTCCTCTGATCAAGGTCTATGTGCAGTCATACAGACACTTATCTTCTTTGTATTTTGCAGATTGAGGCGGGCCAGTACTGCACTTTCGTTATCTCGTCCGACGGCTCCGTACGGGCATGTGGGAAGGGCAGCTACGGCCGCCTGGGCCTCGGGGACTCCAACAACCAATCGACACTCAAGAAGCTCACCTTCGAGCCCCACCGTGCCATCAAGAAGGTGTCGTCGTCCAAGGGTTCAGACGGCCACACGCTAGCCTTCACTACGGAGGGTGAGGTGTTCAGCTGGGGAGACGGTGATTATGGAAAACTGGGTCACGGGAACAGCTCAACCCAGAAATACCCTAAACTCATCCAGGGGCCGCTACAGGGGAAGGTAGGGTTTCACACAAAATGGCTTGACACCATGGTATTTTATTGATATGACATTAATGTATTCTTTAAAATCCAGTAACATATTTAAATGTATTCTATATATGATCTTTTTTTTCCTACTTCAACAACACATTTATTATTTGTCTTGTAGCTGCTCACTCCTAGGCATTCAGTTCGGAAATGCAGTATATGTATATTTGCTTGTGCGTTTACCAGCAGTCATAAAGCATGAGGACGTGTGTTGTTATGGTCAGGTGGTGGTGTGTGTGTCTGCGGGCTACAGACACAGTGCTGCAGTCAGTGAGGATGGAGAGCTGTACACATGGGGTGAAGGAGACTTTGGAAGATTAGGTAAGTTGCTGAACCAAGTCATCCTAAAATGAATGTGTAATGTGCAGTTTACAGATTCCCAATGCATTATTGAGAAGGATTCAAGGCTCTTCTGTGGGTGGAAAGGGTTCTGATTCAGCTTTGACATTTTACAGTATGTGTCATCTTCTCCAGATATCACCCTGAATCATCATTTGGACAGCTTCCAGTTAAAGGGGCCATATTATACTTTTGGGGGTTTTCCCTTTCCTGTTGTATGCTATATAGGTTTCTGTGCATGTAAATGGTCTGCAAAAGCTAAAATCCCAAAGTTCCCTTCTCTTTCACACACTACCCCCTGCCTGGAACGCCTCCATTGGACATCATTATGTAAGATTGGCGCGTCTATTGGCTAGCGCTCCAACACATTGTAAGTGATACGCCAAATGTCGGGAAATCTCTAAGCGGCAATCGGTTCGGACAGAGGGTGAAAAGAGTTGCTTCAGCACAGGCAGTCTGAAGCAAATAAAGCACTTTTTGAACATTAAAGCATGGAGACATGTCACAGTAGTGCAGTGGTTCTCAAACCTTTTCTGTCAGGCCCCCCCCTTTGGAGAAAAAAAAAGTCGGGCCCCCC